TAAGGTCAGGGACAACTCCTCGCATATCGCGCCTTACGCACTGGGAACCGTCTTGGGCTACGTCATCGTTGGCTCCGCCCCCATCATGGATAGTATTTCGGCAACCTCTTATTGTTGTATGGCTGTCGAACCGCTCGAGTCGTTAGTCCGCAAATTTTGGGAGATGGAGGAGGTGAACGTTCCACCTATAGTTAGCCCAGATGATAGATTATGCGAGGAAATTTACGTCCGCACGACCGTTCGTGATCGTGACGGGCGATATAGTGTAGCGCTACCCTTTAAAGGAGATGTTTTATCTCTCGGCGATTCGCGTCAAATGGCGGAAAAACGTTTCTACAGTTTGGAGTGTAGGATGCTCGCTTCACCCTAATTAAAGGAAGCTTATGACGGCGTCATTAACGAATATATAAGGGAAGGTAATATCACTTGTGGCTGAAATTGGATATAGCGTATTTCATACCACATCACGGGGTCATTAGGGAAGACAAACTTACGTCTAAGTTACGGGTAGTGCTCGACACTAGTGCTAAAACTAGCACTCACCTTTCTCTTAACGATATCGTCTATAGTGGGCAAAATTTACAGGGCAGTTTATTTAACATAATACTAAATTTTCGTTTGTTTAGTATAGCACTATCCGCCGATATTCGCCAAATGTTTCTTTGCATAGGGGTCCGTGAATGGGTCCGTGAATGCGACCGTCGATTCCAACGCATTTTATATCGTTTCAACCCAAAAGAACTTCTAATGGTGTTTAAATTTAACGACGTTTGCTTTGGTTTAAAGTCGAGCCCATTTCATGCGTTACACACGGTGAGACAGCTCGCCTACGATGAAGGTCCCTCTTATCCTAAAGCTAAGAGGGCAATTGAAAGTGGATTATATATGGATGATTTTGTGTACTCGGTCGATAGCGTGGAGGAGGCCACCCTAACCACCGCCGAGGTTATAAAGCTCATGAAATCCGGTCAATTCGATCTTGTCAAGTGGACTAGTAATTCGCGTCCGGTTTTAGCACAATCCCACTATCACACCGTCTTTCGGCGATAAAGGAATTCGACGATTCTGATACGCACAAGGTGCTCGGTTTGTGTTGGTCACCAGAGTCCGACGTGTTTAGCCTTAAGATAAACCCGCCCACAGAAACGTGCACAAAGCGCACAATGCTGTCATGCGTTGCTGGATTATGGCATGTCATGGGTTTCGTAGCCCAGGTGTTACTTATAATATATAATACATACGATAAGCTTTTGATTAAACAACTTTGGTTATGTAAATGCGATTGGGATGACTCGCCGCCTGACAGCATTGTTCGGTTGTGGCAGCGTTTTAGAGAGGAACTTCCTTTACTAAGAGAAATTAAAATACCACGTCATATAAACGTCGATAGAAATAGCGTCATCACGGTAGTTGGGTTTGCAGACGCCAGCGAGAAGGCTTACGGGGGCGTTGTATATTTCCACGTTCAGAATAATGGTAGAAATTCGATTAGCCTCATTAGCTCTAAGTCAAGAGTCTCCCCCCGTAAGGTTGTCTCTCTGGCGCGCTTAGAGCTTTGCGCGATATTAGTCCTCACCAAGCTTATAACCGCAGTTATCAGCGCATGTAATGACAGAGTTCACATAGAAAGGATATTTGCCTTTTCCGACTCAACCGTCGCTTTATGTTGGGTTCATTCTTCACCCCACCGTTGGGTTACGTTTGTCGCGAACCGAGTGGCCAAGATCCAAGACGAGTTAGGAACGCAGAACTTTTATCACGTGTCCAGTACGGAAAATGGCCCCGACTTGCTGATGTCAATATTGCGTCAGAATTATTGGATTCTTTCCGCACGTAATTTAATCCGCAATCGGGTGTACAGATGTATAGCTTGCTTTCGGGTACGTCCCAAGCCGTCATTTCCGGAAATGGCGGACCTTGGGTCTTGTCGAGTAATACAATCCGTAAAGCCCTTTACGCACACCGGGTCTGATTTTGCTGGCACTTTTAAGGTCACGCTCATTCGCGGGCGTGGTATTAGATCCACAAAGGCTTACGTCTGCATTTTCGTATGTCTAACTACTCGGGCGGTGCATATAGAACTCGTTGGTGATCTACGCACAGCGGGCTTTATGGGTGCATTTAATAGATTTCGCGTCCGTATGTAACTTCCGTCTATGTGTCCAAGTTCAAACACATAGACGGAAGAAATAAAATAAAATGGTTTTCAGTTGCGCAGTATTGCTTTTGCCACTTGCTCATAATTCCATAGCTTGTGTAGATGTCATGAGCTCTAGGGGACGTTTTCTGACCAATGGAGATTTGTCCACCTGCACATTCATATTGAATGGAATCCAAGTTAATAATACTGACCTGTTATCAATGAGAGCATATGGGATTCTACAGGTCTCCCGTCAAGACTGTGCTCTGACCCGACTGTCAAATTTGAAGGGTGTGATGATTGTTGGTTGTGCGAGCATAATGAAGGAATTGAAAGTTGCAGGTCAGTAGTGGTTCCAGTTGCATTAGCAGTGTCCATCACACTGGCCATAGTTCTTGTAACTTGGTTGATACTCTCCTGTCTAGATAAACATACTAATATGATTGATCGTGTTTTACAGAGGCTGGAAGCATGGAGATTGAGACAAATATAGAAGAGGGAAGAGAAACATATAATGAGGATTAGGAAAATAATGAAATCTGAGTCAAGGCTGGATGTTGAGGATCACTTTGTTGAGTTACAAGACGTGATTAGCCAGCCTTCCCAAAACAACGGTAGGAATGGGAGTTTAGCTTCAATGGACTCCAGGATTAAAGGCTCAGTCTCTCGTGCTTTGCTTTTAACTTTGGGACTGACTTCCGCAAAAGCCTGTGATAATCTTTTCTTCCTCTCCTCGCAAGGGGTGATATATGAAGACAAGCAGATGCAGCATGTCTCAAATGGTTTAGCACTGCTCCACATTGGTAGCAGTTTGTGTTTCAAACTCACTGATGGAACACAGGAAGAGCTCATTCTTAGAAGCATTGTGGCTGTAGAAAGTTATGGAGCAAAATACAGAACATGCGATTTTGATCTGGAAGTAAGGAGTCATTCATCCTGCATGGGCTCTGGGCTTTGTTGGAGTGCAGGGTCCTGTCACTCAGGCGTTAGGTTACAGGCTGTGGGGCCAAAGGCTTACAAGCTGCCTGAGTCTCAGATGGGATGCCGGCTAGTCCCCAATCTGTCAGAAATGTCTTGCACTCACATGCAGTCCTGTGTTTGGTACTACTGCGATTTCAAGGTGAAAGAGGAGAAGTGTGATTTGATTTATGAGCACCTGCACACGAACCTAGTTCTGCATATGCAACACATTGATGGGAAAGGGAATAGAGTCCCATTTGCCTTGACCACATCGGCACCCACGATAGCTAGTCCCATCAGTATTCATCTGGCCAGCGTCAATCATGAATTCACCTACACACCTAAGAATGTTCGTCAGCATCATGATTTGTACTTTGGAGTGAATGCATGCAATCTGAACCAGGGGATTCCAGGCATACTTGGGGATTTGCAAGTACCCCTCCTACCATCGAGTGGAGGAACTAACTGGTCTTACCCAATACATGCAGTGTCATGCCATCCTGATGGATCTTCCATAAGCTGTACTACCCCCACACCTGGATATCGAAGCTCACTACAGATGGATCCCAAGAATATACTGGATATGAACAAAGTAATTAAAGGTAAATTGTTATCCTTCCACAGATCTGTTAGAGGTTATGCTAGCTTCATGTTGAAGACTAATACCGTTGAAAGTCAAGTGATAGAGTCTGCATCTTGCGAGGTTAAAGTTGAGTCCAGTTATGGTTGTTCAGCCTGTGATGAACTTCCTGTTGTGTTTATTTCAACTCCATCTATCAGTAAAACTGGGATATTGCCTTTTAGTAGTAACTGTTCGTTCTACTTGTATGAGATTTCTTGTTCTCAACAAGTCCAGTCTCTGCAACTGCTAGATAGGTATGATGTTTTGGTTCGGCTTTTGTTTTTTTTACCTTATAAATGTTTTTTGGTTTTTTGTTTGTGTGAGATGAAATTCAAAGGAAGCAATCAATCACTAATCTTTAGTTTAGAGTATCAGTTCAAAGGGCAAATATATGAAAGGGGCATTATCACGCACCGTTCGCAGGAATCTTTTAATGACAAAATGAACCTGGCTTTGCAGGGCCCTGATTTCTTGAGTAGTTTACAGATATCATTAGGAATAGGAATTATCACCACCTTTGTCATTACTGTGTTGAAGCTAGTCACTCTCTCACACTCAAATCTCACAATTAAATTTTTTTAATGTTAGGCTGTTTAGGGTGAACATTTTCAAAAAAAGGATAAAAAAATCATAACTCGAAAACTACAAAAATCGCGAAACATACACAGGCTGTTTTCGGATACCCCTAGATGTGAGGAATCAAAAAAAAATTATAACCTCACTGTTTGGACCACCCAGTATAATCCCCAGGCTAATGACAGTACCATATTAGTATTATAATATCGATCAACTGTGCTAGGTTAGCTACACTTCGATGGATGTCGTACATCATAGCACATGGATTTGGTTTTGAATTTTGTAACGATTTATATTTACCACACACACTTTTCAAAAGATTATTCGATCTTTTTATGCAAATTATTTTATTCACTATAAACTGTTAGTCTAGATTACTAGCTTATAGTTATATATATATATATATATATATATATATATATATATATATATATATATATATATATATATATATATGTATATATATAAACATACATTTGAAAAGAAGTCAGACAGAATCCCCTCTACCCGCATGGCCTTGAACAATATCTGGCTATTCTATTGTTCGTGTGGTGTCATTCTTATACCTGCTTCTTTTAGTGTAAAACGTGTTGTTCGATTGAATATACGTATTTATTACAAGCGTCTACTATTAGAGTCTGTGCTGATCAATAGTGAAAACAAAATGTCACAATTTTGTTGTCTGTTGTGGTTAGTCGTGGAATGCCAACTTTAATCGATGCAAGTGTTGCGAGAAATGATAAATTTACTGAGAATTTAAGAAGTGAAAAGTCCGTTACAATCCACGTGGATTGCAGAAAAGCATACACCCGGAAAAGTTTAATCTCTGCATTCAAAAGACAACGTGAGAATGAAGAAGCCAGTACTTCAAAAGTAAGTCCACCTCGTACTAGAGCGCGAGTAAGTGAATCCAGCGTTTGTTTTAAAGAAAACTGTTTATTTTGTGGCGATGAAGCAGATGAAGCGGCTGAGAAAAAGAAATCGCAGAATCTTCGAAAAAAAAATTACAAAGTTTCTACACCTTACTTTAAAGAATCCCTTTTGAAATTAGCTAAAGATCGTTCTGATGACGTATCAAAAGCTGTCATTACACGTATTAATTTTGAGTATGATTTAATAGCAGCTGATGCTAAATACCTATATTTCCTGAGACCTAATACTGGCGGTAAAATTGGGCGTCCTCGACGAGGCTATAAACTCTGCGATTGACGAAATTTTTAAATTAATCGAAAGCAGTGACGACTGGCAGTTAACGTTAGATGAATTAAAGAATGTTTGTCAAAATGAAGCTTTAGATAACAGAATTATAAAAGTACGATTGAAGTTAAAGTATGTTTCCAAGTCGAAGTTGAAGTTAAAGTATGTTTCTTCCGTCTATGTGTCCAAGTTCAAACACATAGACGGAAGAAATAAAATAAAATGGTTTTCAGTTGCGCAGTATTGCTTTTGGCACTTGCTCATAATTCCATGGCTTGTGTAGAGGTCATGAGCTCTAGGGGACGTTTTCTGACCAATGGAGATTTGTCCACCTGCACATTCATATTGAATGGAATCCAAGTTAATAATACTGACCTGTTATCAATGAGAGCATATGGGATTCTACAGGTCTCCTGTCAAGACTGTGCTCTGACCCGACTGTCCAAAGGGGATCGCCCATTTTCGGCCATGGAACGCCCAACAATGTGCATTTGTTAAAAAAATATATCTTTATTTATGATTATTAATCGCGGTATTCATTTATCCTGTATATAATCCATCGATTACTTATGGTGTCATTATTACAATGCTTATATAATTTTTTTATAATTATTACGATGTTATGATATAGGTTTAAAATAACCGTTGACAATGCATATTTATCCAAAGCAGCCGATACGCAACCGTTATTAACCAGTTGTTTATCCGACTACAGACGAAAAAGGATTGTTATGTTTTTACTGTGTGTGCGGGTTAGGCTATGTTGAATCGTTTTTTGCTATGGTGCTTAAAAACGTAGGATGCATTTTATTATTGAGGGCGCTACTATCAAAGAATATTTTTTTCGCTAAACTCGTAAAGTACTTGACCAACTTTGAGAATTCTTTCACCACTAGATTGTTATGAGACTGAGCCGTGGTAGCTCAGTGGTTAACGCTCGCTGTAAATATAACAGAACGCGAGTGACCCGGGTTCGATCCCCGCCGGCCGACCAATGAAATTGTTAATTGCAATTTTAAGTGCTGATTTACCACGTGCTCGGCGGTGAAGGAAAACATCGTGAGGAAACCTGCATGTCTGAGGAATAAGAAAAAAAAATAATTCGAAGACATGCGAAGTTCGTCAACACGCATTTGGGCAGCGCGGCGGACACTTCCTTGCCCTAAACCCTCTCAGAAATGAGGGGAGGCCTGAGCCCAGCAGTGGGACGTATATAGGCTGTAACTTTATTTTACTTTTACATTGCTAATGAGGGCGTTAGCTGTGTGATACATTTATGTTATTACAATAATTAATTGTGAGATTAATATTTTCTAAATTAATAAAACTAAATACCTACCTAAGATGTTCAAATCCAATTATTATTTTTACAATTTAAGAATCGTATTTACACACTTTACTTACTCAGATTGATTATTATAGATAAAGAGGTAATAAATCTAAAGTAAAAGAGCTCCGCTTAAACCAAAAAAACTATTTATTAAAATAAAACTAAAAGTTGAAAAAAAGTGGTTCAGTGCGAGTCGGACTCGCAGGCCCATGAAGAGTTCTGTAGTAACAAGCATATATTTTAAATCGAGTCAAAATACCACTATCATTATCGCCAGCAACAAATTATTTTGTTTTTCATAGTGTTTGTATAAATAACAAAGTTGTTTTTGCGGTTCTTTAAAATGTGCTACTTGTGTCTAAAAAAAGGACTATTATACATTATAGGGGTTTCTGTGGTTTATTCATTACCAAAGAGAAATAACTTATTGCATAAAATGTGTTTTTATCCATTTCAAGTCTACAAAAGCAGTAGTCAACCGTTAAAAACTAAAACAACCGTTGTTATAGGCTCGGTTGAATTCATTGACAACCTTCACATTTATAGTTATGTTAATTAAACAAGCGAATTACTAGGTGATTTACCAAGAATTCTTTAGAGTATAACAAAACGCTACTGCACAAGTTAACTGTTATTCTTATCTGTCCTTAACATAACATTTAAAATGGAATCATGTTATGATAATTCAAGTAGTTAATTTCTAGCTGATTTACCACGAGTTTTCTAAAGCATAACAAAACAATACAGCACAAGCTAACTGTTCCTAAAAATACATTTGAAATAGAATTTCAATAAATAAAGGAAATTATATTTTAAAAAGCGTGCAGAACTTAAAACGCGTCAAAGATTATTCTTTTCATGATATTATTAATCGAATAAAAATCGATATCGTTTCATAGATTTTATGACAGTTAAGTGGCAACATCGAATCTGACATGTAGGCCCCTGTCACTGTTATGTCACAAGAATATAATTGCGTGTTATCGTGTTATTTTGTTTTGTTGGAAAATGCAATTGTTGATCTCTCAACAATTGGTTCGAACACAGCAGGTAAATAGTTGGTACATATCACGAAGTGGCATGTTTTAAATTTTTAAATAAAAAAAAATATAATAATTGTAGCTTCTTTATTAGGTACAAGTTTCGAGTACAGTGAACGTGTAGTGTGCCACTCGCAAAATGCACCATTAGTTCGTCTTGAACATGTATACATCAGCTGTGGCACTGACACTTATAAGAATAAGATCACACACATTGTTTGGGTTCGATTCTCCACGTGAGGAACAATTTGTGCCACGTGAGTTAAGATAAGGTAAGATGTTTAGCATTTTTCAATTTATTAAATGTGATCCTCATATCTGATAATTATACTTGTTTTTACACTGATTGTATATCAACTCAAGAACTTGTTTTATTTTTTTTACATCTGCACTAGCTATATCTGACAAACATACTAGCTTATTTATGAGATTGACCATTTTTATCAACTACCAAGAAAGGAGACAGTTGATTTTTCATTGTTTTTGGACTGCTGGTAGTCTGTCAGGCCTTAATTGTTAAATAATATAGGGCATTAAATCCGTCCTTGTCCAGTAACATTTAACTTGATAAATATTTTGTTTATATTTGAGTTTGAAATAAACAAATCTATTTTATTTTTTCACTTTGACTTCATTTTTTGTATTTTACATTATTTCAGTTGCCATTGTCATGCCGTGTATATCATAATTGCTGGCAATGAACTGATAGAACAGCATCACGTTCAACTGCAGAATGGGAACCATCTGAATCATCTAGTCCGTCCTTGTTGCAATCTGAAGTGAGTAATGTATTGCACCCAGAACAACAAAGCTTAGATCATACATCACACAGTGTACTGCTAACTAATTATTTAAAAGCACAATGTTTTTTACCTGGTTGTAACAGTTCTATCAGCATTGCGAGTATGTCTCTTTTGTGATTAACTACATTTTGCGATAACAAACATACATAGTGACAATTACTATGTATGTGTGTTATACGTGGTAGAGCCATGCTGCACTTATATTAGAAGTATAGTAGTAGCATGAATGGGTCGGCACGACCGGGGAAGGACCACACTCTCACAGAATACCAGCGTGAAATAGTAGCTTAATGCTGCTGTGTTTTGTATGGTGAGTGTAGAGAACCGGAGACCCTTTTTACTGGAAACGAGAAAATGATCTTAGTCCTCACGGGTGACAACGCATCTGCATTTTGATTTGTAATCGAGGATAGATGTGGATGTCTAAGGGTCGCAGGAATGTCTACAGCAGATGGTGAATCTCAGTTAATGACAAGATATGCTAATAAATCCAGAGCTGTGACTATGTGTCGATATGGGTAGTAGAGGTGGTAAATGACATTTTAAAAACTGAATTTAAAATATTTCATCAAAATTACTTTAACAGTGCTTCTACACATTTGATAATAGACTGCTATGGCTGCTGCTATAATTAGTAAATTCCACACAAAAATAAGGGACAGGGATGATGCGGCTCAAATACTTGAAATCGTTCACCAAAATATGGAGACAAATAATGATTTGTCTGAGTATGCTAGGGAAAACAATCTAAATAGAGCTAGGGCAAGCAGACTTTAGAAATATAAATGTAGACTTTAAAATGTTAGGGAATTTCCTGTTTTAACTTACAGCAAATTAATATTAATTGCTTGTGTCACATACCAATTAAAGCAAGCTCGCTACTATTATGGTGAGCATATAAGATTTAATGGTTGCTACCGGATAGAACTCTGTAATAACCAGAGGAGCAGCATTATGGAAGGAATAAACTTAAGCCCTAGCTGATCTTTACTTAGGGCTAGAATTGCAAGTCATCACCATTAGTCGTAAAGTGTATTTTATATATATATTTTAATTAGTGGCAATGGTTCTGGTAGAAGTGCAATTAAAAAGTACTGTCGGCCGTCGAACTGTTGGATGCTGTGCCCATGTTATGACAATAATATGGTATTTGGTTTGGCACGGCATCAGACTATTATTTTGCTTCCTGCTCAGTTCCTGAATGATGTATTGATGTGTAAATTAGAGGCAAATAATTCCTTAGCTTTCCTAGATGCGTTAGTCATCCAAAATTCTAACAACACCATAGGTCACACTGTGTATAGAAAACAATGAATCTCACCATCATCCTTCACAGTTAGTTACCGTGAGCAAATCTTTGTTACAGAGAGCACAAGGGATCTGTGGCAGCAAACATCTGGCTGTCGAGCTTCAGCACGTCAAGCAGGTTCTGCACGTCAACAAGCTTCGTGCCCGCGCTTACGTCACAGTGACCGAGTGAAGCCGGCCACAGTCAAGCATGTGCAGTACTAGTATTTGTCAGGGGTGTCACAAACAAGATTGGCTACATCTTGAAGCGTGACGTCGCTGACGTGAAGCATCAAAGTTCAGGGAAGTTTGCAGTTTGTGATCATATCCTAGACGGGCCCAACTAGCTAGACATCAAAAAAGATTTGATAGACCACAAATCCTCTAAAAGGACGATACATGAGACTATTGAAATAAAAAAAATCTTTATTCGATAGAGAAGGAGGCTTGGTACTAGCACCTGCTTAGGACCCTGTAATTAATGAAATTAAAATTAAACCCAAGCATACCACTGCAAGACTTCAAGACACAGTGAGTTCATTCTGTAGATCGGACCATAAATAAAAATTTAAAATCTGAAGGTACTCTGGGTTAACACTGACATTGGGACGTCAGTCACCTCAGTCTGCCGTAACCATGGGTGCTGGAAAGCACCCGAAACGTCTGGAATTAAAAATCAATAAAACGCGATAAAATCGATAAAAATAGTTGTTAAAAAAACTGAATTTGTGAAAATAAAAACTTCTATATTTTCAAAACCCCGATGTTTTTTAAAGCAATTCCTTTACCATTTCATTGTTTTAATTGCATATTATCATATCTATATGCTTTTATATGTGGGCACTCATGGCCGAAGTGTCTATGAAGAGTGGGCATTCCCCTTTGAAGGGTGTGATAATTGTTGGTTGTGCGAGCATAATGAAGGAATTGAAAGTTGCAGGTCAGTAGTGGTTCCAGTTGCATTAGCAGTGTCCATCACACTGGCCATAGTTCTTGTAACTTGGTTGATACTCTCCTGTCTAGATAAACATACTAATATGATTGATCGTGTTTTACAGAGGCTGGAAGCATGGAGATTGAGACGAATAGAGAAGAGGGAAGAGAAACATATAATGAGGATTAGGAAAATAATGAAATCTGAGTCAAGGCTGGATGATGAGGATCACTTTGTTGAGTTACAAGACGTGATTAGCCAGCCTTCCCAAAACAACGGTAGGAATGGGAGTTTAGCTTCAATGGACTCCAGGATTAAAGGCTCAGTCTCTCGTGCTTTGCTTTTAACTTTGGGACTGACTTCCGCAAAAGCCTGTGATAATCTTTTCTTCCTCTCCTCGCAAGGGGTGATATATGAAGACAAGCAGATGCAGCATGTCTCAAATGGTTTAGCACTGCTCCACACTGGTAGCAGTTTGTGTTTCAAACTCACTGATGGAACACAGGAAGAGCTCATTCTTAGAAGCATTGTGGCTATAGAAAGTTATGGAGCAAAATACAGAACATGCGATTTTGATCTGGAAGTAAGGAGTCATTCATCCTGCATGGGCTCTGGGCTTTGTTGGAGTGCAGGGTCCTGTCACTCAGGCGTTAGGTTACAGGCTGTGGGGCCAAAGGCTTACAAGCTGCCTGAGTCTCAGATGGGATGCCGGCTAGTCCCCAATCTGTCAGATATGTCTTGCACTCACATGCAGTCCTGTGTTTGGTACTACTGGGATTTCAAGGTGAAAGAGGAGAAGTGTGATTTGATTTATGAGCACCTGCACACGAACCTAGTTCTGCATATGCAACACATTGATGGGAAAGCGAATAGAGTCCCATTTGCCTTGACCACATCGGCACCCACGATAGCTAGTCCCATCAGTATTCATCTGGCCAGCGTCAATCATGAATTCACCTACACACCTAAGAATGTTCGTCAGCATCATGATTTGTACTTTGGAGTGAACGCATGCAATCTGAACCAGGGGATTCCAGGCATACTTCGGGATTTCCAAGTACCCCTCCTACCATCGAGTGGAGGAACTAACTGGTCTTACCCAATACATGCAGTGTCATGCCATCCTGATGGATCTTCCATAAGCTGTACTACCCCCACACCTGGATATCGAAGCTCACTACAGATGGATTCCAAGAATATACTGGATATGAACAAAGTAATTAAAGGTAAATTGTTATCCTTCCACAGATCTGTTAGAGGTTATGCTAGCTTCATGTTGAAGACTGATACCGTTGAAAGTCAAGTGATAGAGTCTGCATCTTGCGAGGTTAGGGCCGAAACACATAAGCGCGTTGCGGCGCCGCGCCGCTGAAATCGGCAGTGCGCTATAGCGGTGCGGCGCCGCAACGCACGACGTGAATTCCAGCGTTATGACGTCATACTTGTTGACAAGGATGCAGTTTGTTTCTAACACTCTTGCAAACAACACGTGTCAACCGAGAAGCAGTTTTAAAATTAAAATGTCTGACGTTGACGTCGATCTGTTTATATCTTCGGTTCAGGAACACCGTTGTTTGTGGGATACTAGTGACGAAACCTATAAAGACAAATTTATAAAACAAGAAGCATGGAAAAGCATTTGTGAGATCGTTTATATTGATTACAAGGAAAAAACTCAACCGAAAAATCAAAACTGGGTAAGTAGTAACATATAGTCTTAGGCAATGATATTTTAAACTAAAGATAAGTTACGTTCATAGTAATTTACGTTTTAAATCTGTTCCTGTGTTTAAATCATTACCTCCCAGCAATCCAAAACTGCACACATTTGCAAGTTTTACTGATAAGCAAACCAAAAGATATGAAATAAAACGCAATTGAAAGAGATAGCTATAATTTTAATGGTTGCACTTCAAACGTTTCTTGTGCATAGAGTAACATTTATAGTCGTAGAGTGGACACTTGATTCAAAACTATTCAAAAGTACATAGATAAGAAATAAAACATCTTACAAAAGTAAAAATAATAAGGTATTATTTGTATTTTGAACTGAGTAGGTATACGAACATTCATATTTTCTTTAATTGCCAACTTAGGGCGCCAACATCACTGGAAAAGTAATTACAAAAATCATTCCGTATTAGATGTGGGCTTAAATTATTTTCATTTGCTGTGGGCAAATGCAACATTTGCAGATCAGAATCATCAAAGATAATGTCATCGGTCGCTTGTACTCCATCTCGATTCAAAACAAAGTTGTGCATTACACAACATGCCTTGATAATGTCTGTCGCAAATTCGTATTGCACATTCATAGATCGATGAAATATGCGCCATTTATTGGCTAGGATGCCAAAAGCGCACTCGACATATCTTCGGGCACGACTCAGTCGATAATTGTAAACTCTTTGTTGTACCGACAAATGTTTTCCTGAGTAAGGGCGCATGACGTTATTCGAAATTGAGAATGCTTCATCTCCTACAAAAACAAATGGAGTTTCATTTTGAGAACCTGGTAAAGGCTTTGGTACAGGAATAGGTAATTTGCGTGTCATAATCAAATCATAAAGTTTAGAGTTCTGGAAAACGGTGGAGTCACTTTCCTTGCCATACGCTCCTATATCGACAAAAATGAATCTATATCTAGAATCTACAAGAGCTAATAAAACTATTGAATTATAGCCCTTATAATTGTAAAACAGTGATCCACTGTGCGCAGGACATGTAATACGGACATGTTTACCATCAAGAGCTCCTATGCAGTTAGGAAAATTTGCTTTCTTGTCAAACTCAATAGCGACATCTTCTAGAACCTGTTTTGTTATAGGAGGTATATTTTGACTTGATAGATGTTTCCATATGGCGCGACAAACTGTCCTTACAATTTTTGCTATTGTACTTGCTCCTCGGAAGTAATTCGTATGCATGGTTTTAAAGTCACTGCCGGTTGCTAGAAATCTAAAATGAAATAATAATTAGTAGGCAAATAATAAAATAATACAAATGTAGGTATAATCAAACTCAAACCGCGCAGGTAATAGTGTTGCTAAAGGAATAGATTTTCAAAGATAGACAGGTAGTTTTTCAAAGAAGTACTCAATAAATATTTTACATTATGGTTGTTCTAGGCAAAGTCAATCAGTTTTTAACTTGCCTAAGTCAAGAAAAAGCAGAAAATTATTCTTTTTCGGCGGCCAGCCATTTATATGAAATTGGATGGACCGAAAGTACTTATGAAAGTTATATCAAATAAATTTTATATGTAGTATAATTGGAATCTAGGGAATTTTAGTCTTTATTACTATTTTTCACTTGTGAAGTTTTTTGTTGCAGGTAATGATTTAGTCAAGAAGTGGAAGGCCATAAAAGATAATTTTGCTAAATATCAAAAAAAAACTAAAAGATGCCAATCGATCAGGAGCTGGAGCTGCAAAAATTAAAGAATATCACTTGAATAAACAATTACAGTTTTTGAAAAAGGTTTCACAAAATGCAACTGATTCCAGTTTATGCGTAGCGGAAGGAGATATTGAGAATGAAATAACGGCATTGCCTCGTTATAAAAGTCAACCACGAAAACGAAAGGCAGATGATAAGGATGATATTGAAGAAGATTTATTGGCAATATTAAAAACACCGGAGAATAGACATTTGCATTTTTTCAAGGGGATTTTACCATCTCTACAATCGTTAAATGAGAATCAAACATTGATATTTCAAAGTCGGGTGCTTCAAATATTAACCGACATTCTTCAACCTTCAATTCATCAAAATACACATCACGGCTATAATCAAGAATATCAGCATCAGGGTTACAATCAAGGATATTCAACTATGAGATACGATAATACGGTTCAGAGTGGCTACCACACTTCTACTCCTGGAAGTTCGATTACTGAACAGAGGACTACCTCATCATCAAACCAACAACGTCCAATAAATTCACCATTTTTACTGGACGAAACGTCAGCTACTTCCTATGTTTCACAAGATGAGGAGTTTGATTTTTCTTAAATTGATCATTACATTTTTTAAGGCCTATTAAAGTATTCTTAAAGTAAGAAAATTGTATAATGCAAAAAGCTTAATTTGATTCTGTCTTGTTTCATTTGAACCTGGCTTTGTACCACTAGGTACCCCCAAACCATGAACACTAGTGATGCAAAATTTTTATCGACACCCCGCTAGTACCACAGGTGTATAAAGCCAGGGGTACAAATAAAACTAAACATTTGATTCCGAGTGCCATAAACATCAATAAAAAAAAATAAGAAACCTATTTGTTTTACCTTAAAGTTAAGCCCAGCATTTCCAAAGCAGTAACTGGTTTTCTTCCTTTATTTTTTTTCTTCTGTATATATTTTGATAACTCGCTTAATAGCTCTTCAAATGATGATATACTCATTCTAAAGTAGGCAACAAATTTTTTTTCGTCTATCTTTAATGCTTCGTATTTTTTAGAAAAGAACTCGCCATTTGGATTCATACCCTTACTTAATGGATGTATCCAGTATCTTCTTTGCCGTATTTTTAAGATAGAATAATGTCTTCTTAATAACAAATAAGCAATAAGTTTATTACGATCCATCGCAGAGAGACGTCTATCCACACTCAAAAATCACGAGAATGGTTGCCCTACCATAATGCCCTGTTTCGCGACGCCGCAACGCGGCAACGCAACTGCCGATTTTGGCGTTGCGGCGCCGCAAAAATAAGCAGTTTGCGTTATGTGTTTCGGCCCATAAAGTTGAGTCCAGTTATGGTTGTTCGGCCTGTGATGAACTTCCTGTTGTGTTTATTTCAACTCCATCTATCAGTAAAACTGGGATATTGCCTTTTAGTAGTAACTGTTCGTTCTACTTGTATGAGATTTCTTGTTCTCAACAAGTCCAGTCTCTGAACTGCTAGATAGGTACGATGTTTGTGAGATGAAATTCAAAGGAAGCAATCAATCACTAATCTTTAGTTTAGGTATCAGTTCAAAGGGCAAATATATGAAAGGGGCATTATGACGCACCGTTCGCAGGAATCTTTTAATGACAAAATGAACCTGGCTTTGCAGAGTCCTGATTTCTTGAGTAGTTTACAGATATCATTAGGAATAGGAATTATCACCACCTTTGTCATTACTGTGTTGAAGCTAGTCACTCTCTCACACTCAAATCTCACAATTAAATTTTTTTAATGTTAGGCTGTTTAGGGTAAACATTTTCAAAAAAAGGATAAAAAAAATCATAACTCGAAAACTACAAAAATCGCTAAACATACATAGGGTGTTTTCGGATACCCCTAGATGTGAGGAATAAAAAAAAAATTATAACCTCACTGTTTGGACCATCCAGTATAATCCCCAGGCTAATCACAGTACCATATTAGTATTATGATTAGTATAATGATTATAAATAGCTTAAGCAGCAAGCAGGGATTTAAATCAATTTAACTGATAAAACAATGTATTACCTAGTCATCACGGTGCTCCTCTGGGGTTCATGCTATGGTGATATAGATGTTAGTTTAACCAATGGAATACTTAAAGTTAGTGGTGCCACCAATTGCACTGTCAATAGCAGTGATACTTCTGAAGAAATGACATTGAGTGATAACAAACAATTCTTGGTAACCACTAAACCGATGTTTGGATTAATAAAGTGGGAATGCGAGAATAATAACAAAGGGGAGATTGTATCATTTTTTGAGTGTGCTGAGTGTAGCACAACAGTCAAAGCGAAGAAGTTGTTACTCAAGTATGCCGATGTATTCTCATCAAACGATGCTGACATAGGAAAGACTGGCTTAGTTCAACACAAAATAAACACAGGTGAAGAACTGCCTGTCCGTCAGCGGCCAAGAAGATTGCCGGTAGCACGTGAAAAGGATGTGGAAACCATGATTGAGGGAATGGTGAAGGATGGTGTTATTGAACCTTCATCTAGTCCATGGTGTTCACCCGTGGTACTGGTAAAGAAGAAGGATGGCAGCATGCGGTTTTGTGTTGACTACCGCCGTCTGAACGACGTTACGAAGAAGGACAGCTATCCCTTGCCAAGAATTGATGACACGCTGGACATGCTTACAGGAGTAAAGTGGTTTAGCACGCTGGATCTAAAAAGTGGCTACTCGCAAGTTGAAATTGACCCTAAGGACAAGGAGAAAACTGCGTTCTCGACGGGAAAGGGTCTGTGGCAATTTAAAGTAATGCCGTTTGGGTTGTGCAATACTCCAGCAACGTTTGAAAGGCTGATGGAACTTGTACTTACCGGGCTAATTGGCGATGCCTGTCTGGTCTACTTGGATGACATCATCATCGTGGGCCGTACGTTTGAGGAACACCTTCAAAACCTGGAACGCGTGCTCATGAAGATTCAGAGTGCCAACCTCAAGTTGAGTCCGAAGAAATGTTCACTATTCAAACGGCAAGTCAACTTTTTGGGGTATGTAGTGTCGGAAGAAGGTATCCGTACGGATCCGGAGAAAATCGCCGCTGTCAAAGATTGGCCGGTTCCAAAAGACAAGACGCAGGTTAGAGCATTTTTGGGTTTGTGCTCCTATTACCGGCGATTTGTGAAGAACTTTGCAGATATATCCAAACCTCTGCACAAGCTAACCGAGGAGATGCGACATTTCTGCTGGGATGAAAATTGCAATATCGCATTCCAGGAGCTCAAGGACCGTCTGTGCAAAACACCTATTTCGGGATACCCTGATGCAAGCGAAGAATTTATAGTTGACACAGACGCAAGTGATATAGGACTTGGCGGTGTGTTGTCTCAACGGAATGGTGACCAAGAGGTCGTGATAGCGTACTTCAGCAAGTCATTATCAAAACCGGAAAGGAACTATTGTGTCACAAGACGCGAATTGCTAGCAGTAGTAAAGTCATTGCAGCATTTTAGTAAATATCTTCTGGGGCGGAAATTTCACTTATGAACTAACCATGCTGCACTAAAATGGCTATTGCAGTTTAAAAATCCAGAAGGACAAGTTGCGAGGTGGATTGAACTACTGCAGGAATATGACTTTGAGATCGAACATCGGAGCGGGAAATCTCATGGCAACGCAGATGCATTGTCAAGAAGACCTTGTTCTGAAGATTGCAAACATTGTACTAAGGCAAGAGAGTAAACTGGAACTGGTATCCGTGAGGATACTCAGGGCAGACCGCCTCAACAACGAGTGGAAGGACAGTTTACAACGTGCACAGCAGGAAGATCCGGACATCAAGCCGATTCTGAAATGGATGAAGGCCAGTGCTCCCAAGCCCAAGTGGAGCGACGTCTCAGCGATGAGTTCGACCACTAAAAGCTATTGGGCCCAGTGGGACAGCTTGCTGCTTCAGGATAGAGTTCTGTGCCGTAAATGGGAAAGTGTTCGGGGAGACAGCTGTCATTTGCAAATGGTTGTCCCTAAAGCTAAATTACCGGATGTTCTACAGCTGTACCATAATGATTATTCAGGAGGCCATCTGGGAGTTAAACGAACTCTACTGAAGATCCGAGAACGGTTTTACTGGGTCCACTGTCGAAACGATATCGAGGACTGGTGTCGCAAATGTACAAGTTGTGCGGCTGTAAAGGGACCTCAGACTCGTAGTAGAGGTGCATTGAAGTTGTACAATGTTGGTGCACCATGGGAAAGAATAGCCATTGACGTGGCGGGGCCGTTTCCGGAGAGTGAAAGCGGTAACAAGTATTTCATGGTTGTGATGGATTACTTCACTAAGTGGCCAGAAGTCTTCGCCATTCCAAATCAAGAAGCTTCAACAGTTGCAGATAAACTAGTTCATGAAGTCTTCTGTCGTTTTGGAGTACCTTTAGAGATTCACAGCGATCAAGGAAGGAATTTTGAGTCTAAAATATTCCAGGAAACTTGCCGAGTTATGGGTACTCATAAAACAAGAACGACTTCTTATCACCCGCAATCTGATGGAATGGTAGAACGATTTAATCAGACATTGGAGAGGTACCTAGCAAAAGTTGTAGACAATCGGCAACGAGATTGGTACAAGCACATACAACCGTTTTTGTTGTCATATCGAAGCGCTGTTCACGAAAGTACATCAGTGACACCAGCTTTCGCAAACTTTGGGAGAGAATTACGGCTGCCTGCGGACCTGATCACCGGGATACCCCCTGATGCTCCACGCAGTATAACCGATTATGCAACTGACTTGCGGAACAAAATGAATGACATTTATGAGCACGTCAGACAATCGGGCCAGCAAATGTCTGAGAGAATGAAAACCCGGTACGACCGCAAAATGAACAATAAAGGGTTCAACGAAGGTTCATTAGTGTGGTTGCACAATCCAGTCCGCAGCAAAGGGAAATCTCCTAAGCTTCAAGCTAAATGGGACGGCCCGTACCGGATTGTAACCAGGATCAACGATGTGACCTACCGGATACAGAAAGGCGCAAGAGGGACTCCTAAGATCGTCCATGTGGATCGCTTGGCGCGTTATTATGAGACCGATAATGCTCGGGACGAGCATGTCTTAGGAGGGGGCAGTGTTGCGTGAATAAGTCAACTAGCGCCATCTAGTGTCAGGAACGAGAGCGAGGGGAGCATTGCAGAAAATGACATCACCAATCTTTCAACGGACAGCGCCATCCGAAGAACTAAGTTTCTAGAAAATCTACACTCGAACACTCGTCGCTTTGCGCGCATTTACTTGAATATTCCGGATGCATCATTGCTAATTTACATAAATAGGCGCTGCAAGATGCGATCGGGGAAGTATTGGAGTTGGCGACACAAGCGAAGCTTCGGAACGAAATAAAGTGAATTAGTGTGATTAATTATTAGTGTTTTAAGTTACGTATTAATTTTGAGTATGATTTAATAGCAGCTGATGCTAAATACCTATATTTCCTGAGACCTAATACTGGCGGTAAAATTGGGCGTTGTCAACGAGGCTATAAACTCTGCGATTGACGAAATTTTTAAATTAATCGAAAGCAGTGACGACTGGCAGTTAACGTTAGATGAATTAAAGAATGTTTGTCAAAATGAAGCTT